GGGAAGGGTTATTTTTGTGGTGGCGATAATTCATCTCTCGTATTCATACATTCCCTCGCGCGCCTCTCTCTCGCTCTCTCTCTATATATATATATATATATATATATATATATATATATATATATATATATATATATATATATATATATGTATGTACATATATATATATATATATATATATATATATATATATATATATATATATATATATATATATATATATATATATATATATATATATATATATATATATATATATATATATATATATATATATATATGTATCATATATATATATATATATATATGTATGTATATATATATATATATATGTATGTACATATATATATATATATATATATCATATATATATATATATATATATATATATATATATATATATATTATGGAATCTCCCGTCGTATCCGACGTATGAGGATCAAGCGATTTAGTTCCAAGAAACCGACTGCCAGGCACCAGCACATGTGACTGGTTTATAGTAGTGAAGGCTTTGTGCAGAACCAACGACACTTTGAAGGACCAAATATCGTACCACAAGCGCAGGTTTTGAATTCAGAGTCGTCCTTCTAGACCAGTTGCCATCGAAGGCTATAGAACCTAGTCTGTACTATTATTTACTCATAGCTGGAGGCGGAAGAAGAGGATTAATACTCTTCCCGAGGGTATTAGCACATAAGTGAATGTAATTGATTCGACTGGAATTCGAACTCGGCTCCAATTACTCAATTCGAGTCGCTATTCACTACACCACCGTGCCTCAGAATTGTGGTTGGTTCTGTACAAAGCCTTCAGCATTATAATCAATCATATGTGCTGGTGTCTGCGCTTTCGGTTCCGAGGGACTGAGCTACTTGTCCCTCATATATATATATATATATATATGGTTGTATATTTAGGCAGCAATCCTTCCTTTATACATGTTTCATTAAAAACGAAAGACAAGGTACTACGGTTAAGCTTTTTATTTATTTATTTTTTTATTTGTCAGAACGCAAGAAAAAATTGAATAAAAAGCTTAAACGTAGTATTTGTCTGTCGTTTTAATTGAATATAAATATATATATATATATATATATATATATATATATATATATATATATATATATATATATATATATATATAATGTAGCAGCAAGAAATATTTCAAACAGGTGCCACTGAATAATTTCATTCTTTTTCAAGGATCGTGTTTTGTGAATGTTTAATGTGTTTTGTTTAATAAAAAGCTGCCAAGGAATTAATTTCAATTTACTCTGAGATATTGAATCAGAAACAATTGCATAAACAAACACAAAACTTTAAAATAAATCTGTCAATATTCGAAACTATACAGAAAAAATATAAAGATGAATTTTATTAAATTTATCGATTCCATAGAGGAATTCTTCACTCTTAGGCGATTTTATATGTGACGAGGCAGATTTTTTCCCCCGAAGTAGGTTGCCACTTCTTTCTACTGTAGACCAGTTGCCGTTGAAGGCTACAAAAACCGGTCCATCCTGCTATTTACCTATAGGCATTACCACGTAAGTAATTGTAACGGATTCGACTGGAATTCGAACTCGGTTTGCTGGTAACTCAATTTGTGCCGCTATCTATTACTCCACCTTGCCTCCTCTTTAAGCAAAGAAATATAATTCGAATAATTAGTAAATTTCTTGCCCCGACGAACTCATAGTATCAGATTAATTACTAAATATATATTATAATTATTTCTTGTTCGTGTAGATTTCTTTTTACTTGAATTTGATATGGCTTCTGCGCCTTCTACAATACATAATTTCTAATTTATGTGATATTCATCTAGATTACTTCTTATATATATATATATATATATATATATATATATATATATATATATATATATATATATATATATATATACATTACATTGAATACGACAGGCAAGGTGCTTTGATTTATTTTTTATGCAATTTAATATTTTTTTTTTCTTTTCAGATAAATTATATAAAAACTGTCTGAATTTTCTTTTTATCCGAGCGCTTTCCGCTATACATTTAGGCATTTTCAAGTTTGAAGCATATTAAATATATTAATGTTAATATATTTCAAACTTGAAAATAGTTAAATGTATAGCCGAAAGCGGTCGGATAAAAAGAACATTCGAATAGTTTTTATATAATTTATCATCTGAATTGAAAAAATATTAGATCACATGAGAAATTATATCAAAAACTAAAACAAAGCAACTTGTCTGTCGTATTCAATGAAATGTGCCAAAAACAAGGATTACTGCCTAAATACACGAATTTTATATATATATATATATACACACACACACACACACACACACACACACACACACACATATATATATATATATATATATATATATATATATATATATATATATATATATGTATTGTTCTCACTATTTGCCCAGCGGTATCTACATGATAAAAAACCCCAGAAGGGTGTTAAGTTACCGGAAGTTTTCTGAGTGAAATTAAATAGAATAAACTTGCCGAACAACCGAACATGCCGGATTATGCACACACTCCAGTTGACTTTAACTGTTTTCCTTTAACCAAAGTTGCATAATAAACTAACTGCTGACATATATATATATATATATATATATATATATATATATATATATATATATATATGAGGCAGGATATGTGTGTGTGTGTGTGTAACGAATGCACGGCCGCAATTTTCGACGGATTTGCATCAAAATTTACATGCACATACTTCAAGTTAGCACAAAGGCCAAGACTGACTTTGCATTTCCCAACTCCCATCGATAGTGGAAATAATCGATTTTTTCATGCTTCTACGGCAGTTTTCATGTAGTTTGCGGCCATTTTCTACTAGTCAGAGTCATAGCCTAAAGCTGGCTGCCAGGAATGGGCAGGAAGATTCTATTGGCCATCGTGAGAGCCAACAGCTGACTGACACGAATGTTAACTAGCATGCTAGCATGCAAAAAAAATCGATAGCTGCATTCGTCACAAGAGGGAAAAATTTAAATCTGCATGGCACTTTACTCCAATTGGCTCATTCGCTTGCTTAAACTCAACGTTGATTCTGATACCGCAAAACTGGGTTGGGTGTGAAAACGTGTTTGTTGTTAACATTCTTTTTTCATTCGGTTTTTCCAGTTACGAGTCCTTTTTTTGAAGGTGATCGTTTTGTGTTCATTTTGTTTCGTTCTTTTTTCGTAACAGATTTATTGTTTAGTAAATTGTTTAGAGCTTAGAAAAAAAACGCAGTGTGAGATAGGCAAGAAGTAAGGCATGTAGCAACATCAGCACGGCAAAGGGCACTCGTTTAAAAGGCAAGATAGGGCAAAAATATTTTAAGTCAAGTGATAGCGATTGCTGTTAAAACGGATATTTTTTTCAGAAGATTTCTCAAATATTTAAACCGGCAGACGAAAATTATTACTATGTTTAAAATAAACGGAGCGTCTACTAAATGTATTATTTAAAATGATAAAAAATGTCGGATAAAAAAAAATGAAAAACACATTACTTCTTTAGAAAACGCTTTCTTTACATTTGAATACGAAACTGAGTAAATGTGAACTTTTGCGAATGTGTGACAAGAGAGACTTGCACTTAAAGGCAGTATTCAGTCTTGCTTGATCGTTAAAGCGATTTGTGGCTAAATCGGTCTAAAGCACCTCGGATCTAACGACAGATTCTTCGACAAAATGGGGCGCACATTCGAACCCTACTCTAGGGCAGATATTTTCTTTAATCCTATCATATCCGTCAATCAACCTTAAGGACCATTTATTAGGTTGGTGCAAAAATAATGTCGTTTTTTGACGTTCAACTTAACGTCAAAAACGACATTATTTTTGCACCAACCTAATAATTGGACTGTTTAATTTATTTAGAAATTATTCTTGCATGTGTCTTGTGTCTCTTTAGAAATTTAGCGATCTCGACCATATAGAACTTGTTATGTATTGTAGCTTTTACTAACGTTTGACTTTTCGCTATACTTCCGAATTCACCTCGACCTCTTCCTCATTATGTGTCGTAAGCATTTTAAGTCTAAGTATAATTAGTTTTATGTTCCGATTTTGCTTGAAGTAAATTGTATTCTCAGAATCCTACTGTAGAATCATATTTATATTTCTTCAATTCTTTTCTACATCTGTGAAGAAACTGTCCTGCATTGACTGTCATATAGGAGGATTGATATTTCATAGCAGTTCAATACTTTTTGATTAACGAAACTTTCCTATTTCTTAATTTGTTGCTTATATTTTATTACATATTTTTCGCTATTCCAATGCATATTTTTGTGCCACATGTTCTGACTTCTGTGAGAACACTTCCCATATATTTAAATTTTTTGTACCTACTGGATTTTGGCATCCCCAGTTCGTAGTTCGAAACTTGGGCTGTCTCTTTTGCTAACAATAATAACAAAAGGTAGGAAGTTGTGGAAGTATTTCGCGCTTAAAAGAAGAAAATGATTCAATGTGTAGTTTTCCAGAAAACATGTAGTTGGTAACTTTGCCCACACCAAATATTTATTAACAACGAAAATCGAATTTTGTACCATCATCCCATCTTGTGTTGTCTCTTTTCTTTCTCTTCTCTCTCTTTCTCTTTCCTCTTTTATATAGTGTCTCCCTGTCTTCAATTCGTCTGCCTATCTAATATCTAAACCTTCTCTTTCAATAACTGACTCATTCAGTAAAACTTTTCGATCTCACCTCCGTTTTCCTATCTCATCTTTATCTTAGAGAGAATTCAAATAGTTTACATGTGATACCCCGGTGTTCCCCACTGACAGTCACATTCATTAATCTCTGCCTCCATTTCAACTCAGTTCCATCCCAGTACTCACCGTTTGAGCCAATCTCACCAGACATTTTACTCGCCTCACGACTCCACGCATGCGCCAACCACTTTCCGCCCAACTTCCTATCTTTCTGCAAATATGCCCCCTTCCTCAACGACCACACACTGTTCATTGCTATTTACAATCACTGT